TATATTAAATTTTTTTTATACATACATTAATACAAATACATTAAATTGAAAACATTTTTGGGGACTTTTTACCCCATGCAAAAGAGCTCAACTTTTATCGAATTTCTTCTTTTAGGAACGTAGCTAACTCGTGCAAAATGTGCTCCAAAATTGTGTCGTCTTGCTTTTTTCGTTGTTGTTGTTTTTGGTTTTTTTGCAGGCCTGAATGATCTTGCCATGGCGGCGGCAGCGGCGGCGCTCGGGAGCCATCTGCGCATCTCAAATCTTCCCCGACGCCCGAGCAAACACGTCTGATCCCTGGCAAAACAGACATAATGAGCACGAGCACCTCGGCGCCACTCAGCTTGTTTGTCAGCGTCGTCACCTCTCTTGATTCGTATTGACAGATATTTATTGATATTTGTTTGTCAGCGGGACGGGGAGTGAGTTGTTCGCAAATTGAAAATGGGAGAGCATTGAGGGCCAAAAGGGAGACGGACGAATGGTGTGTTCTTCTTCCATCTTACTGTGTTTCGTGAGGACCAATTGTCTAATTGTAAGATGCATCTGGGGTGGGGGTGGGGGGGGGAATAATCCCCCCCCCAGAAAAACAAGTGTTTTATCAAAGAGGCGACTTTTGTTTTGTAAGACTAGTTTTTTCTCTACAAAAATAAATATTCACAATTAGACAAAAAAAAAACCTTGATTATTGTGAAATAACTTTCTTGAAAAAAATGCAACTTTATTCACAGAAAATTTCAACACATGATCTTATTTTTACAAAACCTGCTCAAATTAAGATGCATTCCTTCATTCTCAACAAAAAATGACTCCTCATAATATTACCCCCCAAAAAAGAATCTGATCAAATTCAAAATATAAAGAATATTGAATTTTAAAAAAATGCTCAAATTGTTAGTCTTTTGTGATATTTTGAGGAATAAAATCATAAATTAATACATATATTTTTCTTAATTTTTTAAATGAATGACCAAATAAAAGGCAGCCATTTACCCGAAATACAAAATGTGTATTTTCTTCTCAAAATCAATATGACCCCGCCCTCCCCAAGAAAAAGAATTCTGAAAGAAAATTTTCATAATACGACAAGGCTTTCTTCAAAAAGAAAAACTGCAAAAGAATAACGGTATGTCCGTTATTCTTGACAAAGTATGAGTTTACTAAAATGTTCAACTTTTTCCAGGAAAAATACTAATTTTATCGAAAAAAATACCCCCCAAAAATAATTCTTGTAATCATACAAGTAAAAAAAAAAAAAAAAGAAAATATATTCCGATTTGTGTTTTTCCTCCAAAGAACAAACATAAAAAAAAAAAGTTTCCCCCAAAACATTCTCATAAAACAATAGAAAGAATAATACATTTTAAAAAATAAATCTAAATGTCATTTTTGTGCCCGTTAATGACAACTTGTCCATGTAGCTTGTAGTTGTGGGAACAAAACAACAAAACATTCCCATTCAGCGTCATTTGTGAAGACGGTGCGAACACCTTGTTACCTTTTCAACGTGAGCGCATAATTGACATCTGAATGAGACAAGTCTGCCTATTAGCGCTTGCGATGACAATAATGGCATTGTTTTCGGCGAACAAAGCAGTTGTCATCCTAAAACAGGTTTCACCTTCGACCAACGTGACTTCCTTTTCCAGCAAGTCATGCTAATTTGCTGCAGGAATGACGCATCAATCAACAGTGTACACATTCAGAAACATTTCACAGAGCAGATTACATTCCACACACACACACACACACACACACACACACCAAAAAAATACATCTAAAAAACTCAGTGACCCTGGCTGACAGCCTGGCGTAGTGTGCAGCATGTGACGCCTGTTCAAATCGGAATCAAGAAATAAATAAATAAAAATTCGGCAACATTTCTTTGAATCATGAGGACATCGAATTTAATTTCTCCAAAAGGACGTGCTGCCATTTATTGGGTTATCATGGTGAGGAGTTAAAGGGGTAAAAACAAACTTAAATTAAAAACAAAGAAAGACACAGCTAACCTTGTAGAGTTGCTATATTGTACTTTTCGTTTTGACGCCTGAGTAGCACTTCATGGCCAACCAAAAGTCAGTTGACCATTCAGGTGCTCATCTCCTATTTGCTTTTTTCGCTTTTCAGAAAAAGGCAGGAGCTTATGAAAATGAAATTGTATTTTTGGTTTTTGAGAATAAAAATACTTGTGTACACTGCTGTATATATTGAAGAGCACATTAAAATTAAAAAAGAAATCGGCAAAATATCATCCATTTAGTTGATGTTTGAAGGGCTATAATTGGTCGATTTATTCTACCGGCTGATTAATCAACCTAGTAATATTCCTCAAAAATAAAGTTGTATTAGCTCACTTTTTTTTAAAAAAGTGGAAACCTTTCGAGAATGAAGTTGTACTTTTTTGGGTACCATCAAAGCGAAACGTGTTGGTGGGTGATTATCGTGCGTTTTCTCCGCTTGGTTTCTTTGGGGGTCTGTGAGATGAAGATGTCTATCGTGACATGATGGAAGCGGGAAGACTTCCTGTTGGATTTAAGGCGCCGTCCCGGTAGTCGGCCAGGAGGGGACCTGCAGACGTCGTGCTGACCTGCTCGCGCTTATTGTATTATTTGACTTGATTGTATTCATCTGGAGATAAAGCATCAGTGAGCACATCTGCTGCAGATTCTGGTGGGCCTGCACTCCATCACGGCTTAACATGAAACTTGATTTCTACACAGGTTGACCTCTGCCAAGGCCAAATGAGCCTAGATTGAAAGGTGCTTTGATTATTTAAATAAATAAATCATGATGCCCAAAAACAAACAATTCTTTCTGTACCAAGGTTCAGGGAAATGTGGTATTTCATTTTTGTTTGAAAAAAAAAAACTAATCCAAAGAAAATGACTGCGAGTTTTTGTCTTGAAAAATTCACCTTCAAAATTACTATTCAGGGTATTACTTTTTCATAAGATAGATAGATAGACAGACAGACAGACAGCTAGCTAGCTGTATAGTTGGCTCGATAGACAGACAGCTAGCTAGC